GGTGCTTCCATTTACGAGCTGTACATCTTCTTTGTTACACATTGTGTGTATACGAAATTTCATACCGATAGCATGCTTGTACTCTTCCACCACCCTCAAGGATGATGAAGATCCTCCTCTCCAGAGGCATGAAGTTTAAGATCGACCATATAAAACAAATGAGTGATTTCAAGCCTCTGGTTTCCAAGGTTGCCACAGTTATATCCTCGAGTATTTTTGAGCGCAATGAATAATGGCAAAAGTGAGATGCAGAAAAGAAGGAGACTGAAGGAATAGCCCTGAAAGTGACCCACCCTGTTTGGACTTTAGTCTGACCAGATGTTATGGTGAAGCGAAACTGCCAGAGTGGTATCAGTTGTTCAAGGCATCTAACTAAGCAAGGCATCTGAGGAAACTCAAGATGAGCCCATGTTGTATCAAATGTCTTGCAGTGATCGATCCAGGTTATGCTTATACTTTATCGAGTCCTGCGTTACACATCTATCGATGAGTAGGTTCTCTTCACATCTAGCGACCCCTCTCTTCGACGCTATCTGCTCATATATATCCGTTCGAAAACTTGGACAACTTGCGATGCACTGTTTGGAACCTTTGGATTAGCGATGAGTATTACTGAAGTTTTTTCCCAACACCAAACCGTTATTTTAACATCTCGACACGTGTTTAGATCACCAAGTAATCATCTTCAAGAGGAAGATAAAACAAACTGGTCAACTGTTTCAGTATTACTATTTGTATTATTATAATTATCGTTATTATCGATGTTTTGCTTCACAAAACTTCCTCAAGAAATTCTGTTTGGTAAAGCAAAACATGTGCCGCGGTTTCGCAAATCTTTTATAGTGAAAATCAAAATGAAATTCATCGATAAAAGGGGTTTTTTGTAAGTCTAGTTGAATTTCAATTCAGCTTCAAATTTTCTGATCAGCAGAAATATTACGATGAGAATATTCCTACCAAGTAGAGCAAATAACTTCCCACAATTGTCAACCGTAATTCTCTCAATATGAACCGAATTCGTTCATCGTAATCCTCGTTTCCATAATAAAATGTCGGGAATAAGGATTTTCCCGGAATCGATTTATGGAAATAAGCAAGTTCACTTGAACCTCCTGGCGCATACTGTATGTGGAAACAGACCAAGATTATTGATGTTGATAGCACTTTCAACTTGTTCTCACCGCTAAGTGTGAATCCATAGACTTCACTTTGAACTTCAGCGACCATTTGATATCGGTTTCCTGGATATATTGCCTACTGAATTCAGGTAGATCTTTTCCATTTTCCTTCCTGAAAATACATAGTTTTATGATGATAAATAACCGAGAAGATGTGATGGAAAAAGAATTTAAAATGTAACAAGAAAGAACATCACCTGACGAAAGGAAGCCCTTTTATCATAGGAGTGAGTGGGGTGGGTTGCAAATAACTTTATTTTCGCGGTCAATTTTTTATCTCTTTTCATCTGTATTCAACTTCACTTGATTTTCAATAAATGAAAGAGATGCCTCTTCGGACATTCTTCACATAGATTATGCCAACGGTTTGAAATATTGATTTATCATTTTGCAGGATTGTTCTCAAAAATATTATAATAGTTACAAGTGAACTGAAATAATGATATTTTATACCTAACAATTATGAGGAAATATTGGACAAAGTTTGAGAATGAGGTCAAATCTTCGAGAAGATCTGATATTATGAATATTGATTTCAAAGCTACCTGTGATAGCAAAAGTGTCTCATAATTCTTTCAATCGATTATTGAAACTGTGATTTTTTCATATAATATAGATAAACAACATTCATCTTTCTCCAATACAAAACTATAAATGTAACTCAAATGTTAAACATTTGATTGTTGTTCATACAATTTGGTGTTTCATTGATTTGCACAATTTCAAGGATAATCCTCCTGAATATGTTTCCTTTTGATTATAAGACTTTTGTTTCATCAAATTAAAAAAAAAACATTATACACTTACCGATACTTGATGAAAATCCATTTCAACGCTTTTAAAAAACACACTGTGAGATTTCTACATTATCTCACATTGAAGTGTGTTTTTTGAATATGCCATTTAATTTGTAACTGATTTTATCTCTTCCAAATGTTTTGAAATACAAGCCAATTCATCAATTTTGCAGTGAACGTATCCTGTTGTTCCGATTGGGAAGAAGAATGGGACACAAGAGCATAATTTCATAGCATTTTTCATGCGGCATTCCCTGGTACAAGCGGTGTAAGAGTAAATCTCCTCTCCCTGGAAGTAACAAGATTCAATGTTTGTTGGATAATGTAGTATTTCATGGTATATTTCATATTTTAACTTCAAATCGTCTAAAAGTCCATCAATAGATTGATCTATCATCACACGATGAACATTATGCGAAAGAATCGTAATTTCATCTCTGATAGCAATGGACCGAGGAAAACTTGTTGACCCATCCTGTAGAGTAAATTACTGATTTAGTTCATATCCTGATAAAGCAAAATTGGTTGATGAGACGCGTCGAAAATAGTGTTGCAGTTATGAAGTGTGGGAGCTTTGTTCGTATTTTTTCTATTATTGAATAAATAACAGTAGCTAAAAAAACAATTGCAAGAAAAATTTGTCAATGATTCATATACTTTTTTTTAGCAACATCCTCTGGATACCCAGTACTTTGATAAACACTTCACAGTCGAGAAAGCGAAACTGACCCCGATTGAATCAACGATTTTGCAGTCTATGGATCAGACGCAGTTCCAAGGATTCAGCTACACAAATCCCAATGCCACCGACAAATGATAAATACCTACTACGATAGGAGCAGAATTGGTGAAAGTAACAGTGAAAGAGTCCTTATCTGAAAGTGATAATTGGAATGAGGATTCAAAACTTTTCTCGAAATGTACAGCAGTAACTGTATATGCATAAGTGTGATATATTATGGTACTAAGTTTTGTGTACTTTAGGTACAACTATTCCCATCTTTAATATAGTCAACTTCATTTGGGACTGTTTAGAAAACACTTTAACTCAATAGAGACCTCCAATAGGAACTTTTGTTCGAAAAAATATCGTTCCCACTTTTCTTTTTGGGGATTGTTGCTGTATTCCACAAATGTTTTTGACTATTTTGGATGTGTCTTACCAACATCCTTCTGATAAATGTTTTTTGATGGATGTAAAATATTTCTAAAAAACTTTTTCTGGTCACTGGAACCATAGTCTAAGAAAATATTGCTTTTTCCAATTGTAAATTCTAGTGAAATTGGGACTCATCATACTGAACATCTTGCAAGAGTGTCCAGCAAATCCATTTCGATTGTGTTCTTTGGAACTTCGTGTATTTGCTTTTCTGAATCTGGTTTCGTAGTCACCGTATTTAATGATCAATGACTTTGATGAAACACTTGAAGCTTACTTCTGAATTACAATTTTCAGAGTCTCTCTCAGTACCAGATCTGAAAAATATTTTGAAGATAATATCGAAATCAGTTTGTGGAATAAAAACTCCACTTTATGGTGGCACCATAAATATGGTTTGCTCGTAGATTCGATGGCTTCTGGGTAGAAATCACTGGACCAGGTTTTTTTTCATTTTCACCAACGGTAAGAAATTCACTGCATATATTGAAAGCAAAAACAAATGAAGAGAATAGTAATAGTAATTAATATGACAGATACCATTACTTGAAGTGAACAAAGTGTGAAACTTTTTATAAAATATTTACAAAGGCAAAGTGAGAGGAATTTTCAAGGTTAGAGGAATGGAAATGAAAATCTATGAATTTTCTACTCAGTATATTGGACAATTAATCACAGTTATAAAGTCATATTTTTCTAAAGGAAATGTGAAAGGTATAAACGTGTTTGAGGAATTTCATGAGCAAACATTCAGTTTTTTGGTATCTTTTGAAAGTTTTTTCAAAAACCAAGATTCTATGAACTCTTTTTGAATATTCAAATTTGAATATGACCTATAATTTGAACTCGATTTGACCTGGGGACGCGCCCGATAGGTAGCCCAACCCATGGGATGATATTAATGTTAATGGCAATGCTAATGGTGATTATGGATACATGATTCCACCTTTACTTCAATAAATTTTTGACATTTGTAAATGTCAGTATTTTCAAAACGGTCTAAATACACAACTGATTCATCTTTGTTATGCCTACTTTCACCCATTGAGTAACCTTGATTTTACCGATATAGCAATGTTTTTACAATAACCCCGATTTCCCTTTTGAAATTCAAATAATTTCTATTGGCCGTTTTGGTTAATGTCTCGCTAAAATTTGTTTCTGTTTGAAATCCTGAAAAAATGGAAAGTAAACTATTTTTTGGAGGAACATTCTCAAATTATAAAAAAATAGCCATCCTTTTTTGACAGTTATCACTAAAACACAAAACGTTTTGTTCACGACTCATTATTTTGTCTTTGTCTAGTTTCATAATTTTCTCCCACTCCCTCACTCTCCTCAAAATGAAAACTCTGACAGGAACCACTGGAACCTCCCGAATAAATCCAAAATATTGCTGTTCTGTGTTTGGTAACAGTAGTTGTTTTTAGGTAAAAACTCTGGCAGAACTGAGAAGCATTCTTTTGGGTAGTACTTCGATTTGAATATCAGTTTGAATACATAACTGCTCATTCCTCAAACGTTAGTAATAAATACCAGGAAACGCAACAGTAGTGGTTTTATATTTAGTATGATAGGTGGAATTGGGATGAAAAAAATTCACTGAAAACACTTTTCTCACACCAAAACTAGAATACTGTCTATCAACGTGTGTTTCGCTAATCGAGTTAGCATCATCAGGAGATAACTAAAACTATATCATCTCCTGACGATACTGACTTGGATAGCAAAACAAGCATCGAGAAACAGTATTATTGTTTTTGCTTGAGAGAAGTATTTTCTTTTTTCGATATGAAGATTTCGGAATATCAGTCCCAATTTTGATATGTACATAATGGTGAAAAAAATGAAAAAATATATACCGTATAATTGTACGAATAAATATGTATTTAGATTTATTTATTTCTGTACATTTGTAAATTTGTGTTTTAATGGAAATGTTTTGTTACTTGTTAATATTATACATATTTTTCAAACCAATGAACTAGTTCAATTACAGTAAATTAGTGACATCTGGTTGAAACCGGTTTATGGAATTTATATGTCGTATTTATATTCCTACTCAATAAAACAGAAGTAATTTCATTGCGTTTTTAATTAATGAACTCGATACCAAACGGGGATTTGATAATAGTCGGTTGTGGTTGTGACTGACGTTGATCATTGAATGGTCCCACTCTCTGAAATGAAATAATTCTGTTAAAAAGTTTTGCAAAAATATATTAGGTGAATATAATGAATGTTAAGTCACTAGAACAATCCAAACTATTTATAAAATATCATAAATATACTCAAATCGAATGGAATGTTTTAAGTTACGTTACTTGGAGTCGTAAGGAACTTGTTTATCCATAATTTATAGCAATATTGAAGTTATCAGGTCCAGTGACGTCTCAGTGGGCACCACAGTGAATATTATTGGTAAAAAAAACGCCATCACCTTGCTTCTCTTAATTTTTTATTTTTATTATTTAGATCGAATAACTGAAAATACAACTATTTGATCTTTGGTTTTCTGTATATCTAGCTTCGTTTTCGAGAAAAATGAATTACTTTTACTCATTCTGGAAATTATCAACAGATAACATAAATTGGAAATCAAAAATGAAAAATAAACAATTCCGACTCTGAAGTAAATGAAAAAAGGGTCCACATTTTGATAAAATACACGACTGCAATTATTTATCACTCATTGTCTGACACATGGTGTGCAATGTATGACATTGCAATTTTGTTAATTATTTGAGTTCTCAAGTCATTTACATCTAGTACAGGAGTTTAATAAACAAGAGCCTTCAGATGATTCCATGAAGAACTTCAGAGGATTCATATCAAGTCAACGAGCTGGCCAATTTTGATTTTCTGCCCGTCTAATCCAGCGATCAGTAGAGATAAAGTCGAGATACTGATACAAGCAAGACAACTGAAATGAGCTGGAGCCCCGCCTTGCATGAACTACATGTTGATTCTTGAAAGTTCGGGTACGTCTTTTTAAAAAAAAAGGGAATATGATTTTGTGAAAAGTCTATGTTAATCTCACTGGTAAAAACATTAGGCCAATTAGGTAGTCACCAATAATTCCTATCCATACGTTCAGTGAAAAGTGTTGCCGACTTTATCTAAAGGAGGACAAAGACTACTCTGGCGTAAATGTGAGCACGTCACACATGAAGCTATGTTCACATTGGCCTCATAACAACAACTTCATGTGCATTGCATTTTCCGACAGTGGGCTCTGAACCTCCAACCATAGTTGTACTTCAAGTTTTGGCATAGTGGAAAAAAAAGGAATGAAAAAATAACTGTTTCCACTAAACGGGAATGCCGACATTTTCTTCAATTTTAATCCAAGCCTCTTTCCTGGAATGCTGGTTGCGATACGTTTACATTAGGCTGACGTGACGTGTGAAACGGTTGTATTATGCAATCTAACACTACAAGCCTTATAACACGTGTGGATTTTCATCAGTTATGGGGGAAGTTGAGTGGTTTTTTATAGTAATGTATCGAAATGAAAGAGATGTTGACTGAAAACGTGGGATCAAATCCAGTGCTGTACGATATCACAAACCGGGAATATCTCTGTTAAAAATAAATTGGTTGACGGAAAAACAGATTTTCTTTAAACCAAGATATTCCCGGTTTGTGAAATCGTACAGCACTGGATTTGATCGTACTTTATCAGTCAACATCTAATTTCATTTCGATACATTATTATAAAAACCACTCAACTCTCCCCACAATCGATGAAAATCCACACGCGTTATAAGGCGTGTAGTGTTAGACTGCATCATACTGTAGCAAATCAAAGAATCAACTGTTTTGAACAAATTCATTTTTACTAATATTTCACTATAACAATTAATTTATACTCAACACTTAGCAACTAACGATTAATTTATCTTCACCATTCGAATTCTTCGTTTATCGTTCGATTCGCTTTCTGAATTCATACTCCTTTTCAGAACGAGGAGCCGACCTTTTATATCGGTAACGATCGTTCTAGATTCCTCTAGTGATTTCGTTACTCATCTATACTTTTCACGGCGGTTCGCGGGGAACTTTTTTTTTGCATTAAGTATAGCTTCTTTTACTTCAGGTTTTGTTACAGTTTCTGGTCTTCCACCACCTAAATTCCTATTGAAACTCCCAGTTTCACATAATTTTGCATGTAGCGTTCTGAATGTTTTAATACATAGGACTACTCTGTTAGGGTATCTGTCCTAGTTCTTCTTTCGTAATTTCATTCGATCATCCATAAATGAATTGCATGTCAGCCATTCTAGCATCAGTAAAATCATTCGTGATGGAATCACTGATAACTGACAACTCTAAATTTTACTATAAATCATGTCTCCAATTGGGGTAGTAGGTACTTGATTGAACAATTTGGTAATGATTCACTATAGAGAGAAGATTAATTTGTAGCAGTTACATTCCATTACGCTACTGAATTGATTGAGTCAAATTCAATTACTACCTAGTTGAAAAAAACAGTATAGAAGAAAATACCAAGTTTGAGACAAATGGGTTAGATATTTTTTCGATATTGATAAAAAGTACGAATTTTCATGTTCATGATATGCGATACAGTGGCTACAATTTTTTTCTCGAAAACAAAACTGGATATGAAGAAACAAAAAAGTTCTATTTTCAGTTGCTTGATTGAAAAACACAACAAATATCAAGTCAGTGGCGCGCTTTTTTTAATATTATTGGCTGCGATACATAATACGTTCATAGGAACATTTTTCTTGAAACAGCCTGATGAATCACCCTATGAAGTTTCATACCGTAGTTAGGAAACACCCTCTATTTGCGAATAGACCATCTTCTCAGTATGGCCTATCATACCAGAAACGAAGTTTCTTTACTGCAAATGAAATGAAATGAAACACTTTCCATTTAAACTATGATTTTCCTTAAATTTGAATTACTCCAGTTTACAACATTACGTTCATCCGAGCTTTTTCTTTTTCTGAGGAACAAAGTTCGTTATTGATCATTGGTTTTGGAAATTCCGACTTCTCTTGAAATTCCGACTCTAACTTCGGAATCACGACTTTAAACACGAAATCCTGAATTAAATTCTGAAATTTCTACTTTAAACTCAAAATTACGACTACAAACTCAAAACTTCGACTTTCATCTCGAAATCATGACTTCAATCTCGAAATTACGACTTTATACTAAACATTTCGACTTCAATCTTGAAATTTCCAGTTCAAAGTGAAAATTTCGTGTCTGAAGTCGTAATTTCGAGTTTATTATTTCTTTCTTGGAAATCACGTCTTCAAAACTCCAAATTTCGACATTTTCACTTGAAGTGGAAATTTTCTAGTTTTTCAAGTAGTAATTTCCAAAAAACAAATAATAAAACTATATGACCCTTCTGCGCTTCCGTAATTTTTCGAATAGTAGATTCAAAAAATTTGTCAAATATCATTTGTCAAATGTAATTGTCAAATTTCAAAAAAATTGTCAAATTCTTACCTTGGAAACTTTGGAAAAAAGTCCAGACTGGAGAGTTATACCAGTATCGTCGAAGGTGGGAGTTTTTGAAATAAAATAAGGTGGAGGATTCGAATGATTTTTCGGCGAAGTTCCAAATTTTTCTTGAAGGCGAATCTTTTTCAACTGTTTTTTCTCTTTCACCACCATGCAACAAGTTCTTATTGTGAAATAGTATAATATCTCCACACCAGATAGAAGACTGAATCCCAAAAATAAACCAGCAATTCCACCGAAAGACACTAAAAATTATTTCAATTGTTTTTCACAGACGTCAAAAGAACTTTTATTAAGGTATTTTCCATAATTGAATAGAACTAGCCGATACTTGATGAAAATCCATATTGAAACTAATTACAGTTTATTGTATGATTTTCACTATGAGGGATTTCACAAAAACCGCGTTACGGTATTTTTCGTTAGTTTTTGTGATAATGTATAGTGGCTTTCTATTGAAAATGGCAATAAAAGTCGATATGAAACATTTGTAACGGTTTTTTTAGTTTCACACATTGCAGGAAATGGAATACGACACGAGCGGGGCTAGTAACAGCAAAACTTGAAGTATGTACTGTGTGAGTATGAATTCACAAAAGTGATAGTAGATTACACCCTGAGAGATGTGTGCTCAGTAATCATGTTTGTAAGGAAGTCACAAAATGGATTATAATTCAACTAAAATCTTGACATTGATATAAATGAGTTTATAAGATTGCACTCAAAAACCGAGCTCTGAGTAAATACAAGAATATCGCCGATTGGAATAGCTATAAGGACCTCAGAAATTATACATGTAGTGCGATACGACGTGAGAAAAAAGCATATCTGGACTTTGTTTTAAGAAATAAAAACTCCAAAGCAACTTGGAATACCTTAAGAACGCTTGATATTCTGAGGAACAACAAAAGAATCAGATATTCCTGATGAATTAAAAGACGTCAATCTCATTAACCAGCACTTCAATTCCATACCTCAACCTATCAGATATGCTCACCAATTGTCCTTATTAGATCAATATGTTAATTCCTAAGAAACTGAAATCTCCTTTGAATTCACCTCAGTCACCTGTGAGATTGTGCGACGCATCAAGAGCAACGCTTTGGGTTCTGACGGGATATCCCTCAAAATGATCAATCTCATTGACTCTTTTTTGATAAATCACTTTATCTTTCTCATAAACTATATCATTACCAGTTGCCAATTTCCAAAATATTGGAAGGATGGATTGGTTATCCCTCTGGCTAAGTGTAACTCACCTACTGTCGTTTGAAGGTGATTGACAATGTTTCATGATGAATTTCACTAGTTCGGACTTCCATTGTCTACTATATAAAATGATTTGAAATCCCTGAAACAACTAAAAAAGAAGAATTGAAATTTAATGGCAGCTATTCAACTACAACTAAAAAAGAAGAATTGAAATTGAATGGCAGCTATTCAATTTCAATTCTTCTTTTTTAGTTGTTTCAGGAATTTCAAATCATTTTATATAGTAGACAATGGAAGTGCGAACTAGTAAAATTCATCACCTACTGTCCTTCCTGACCTAAGACCAAAGTAGTACCGTATCTCTCCAAAGTAGTGGAATCGATTCTGAAAAATCAGATTAATGAGTACGTCAATGAACATCATATTATAACATCTATACAATCAGGATTCAGACCTCAGCATAGTACCATCACGGCTCTTCTGTCAATTAGAGACGATATTTTTCAAGCTGCAGATGAACAAAATTTGACCTGTTCAATACTTCTAGCTTACAGCAAGGCATTTGACACTCTAGATCATGAGATATTGTGTGACAAACTTGTCTATTTCGGTTTTTCGCGAAAAGCAGTGTATTTTTCAGAAAACTATCTGAAGAATCGTACTCAAAGAGTTGTTGTGGATGAAGTTATTTCAGATGCTCTATCGGTATTAAAGGGAGCGCCACAAGGATTCATCCTTGGGGCCTTGCTTTTCGCATTGAAAACGATATACTTCCCTCCGTGGACGAGATAAAAAATGTAGGATTGTGGTTTTATCTGGATCTTCGCTTCACTAAACATGTCATCTATGTGAACCAATCTTCTTATAACGTTCTCAGACAGCTTTTTCCTAATCGTGATTTGCTCAACACAAACTTAAAACTTAGACTATGCGAGTCACACAAATCTTTTATTTTCACCCGCTACTTCTCGTATAATGCACCAAAATTTTATAATCAACTACCCTGCGAATTTCGATTATACACCATCGCGAACTTTAAAAAAAGACTGAAGACTTATTTAACTCATTAGCCTCTTGTCCGTTCCTGACCTTGGCATTTCTAAAATGAATATTCTGAAGTAAAGCAATAACTATTTTTTCTGATATTGTTAACTCGACTTGTGTTCATATTATTCAATTATAGTTTCTCCCAGGTTGAGTTGAAAAACAGCCTTGGGTGATACTCCGCCTACTCACCATATACCGAAGTTTTTTTTTTCTTATTGTTCCTGTTCTTATTGTTATTTTTGTCTATTCCATTTGTATTTTTATGGTGAATAAAGGCGTATTATTATTATTATTTTTTCTCACCGTAGTGTGCGCTGGCCAGGCCCTATCCCCCGAAGCCCCGATACATTCGGGAGGGCGCGCCAGCTTTATCAACCAACGACCACTCACCACACCGTGGGCTAAGTGATCATTGGGTCCGAGAATGATGTGCCCTGAGCAAGCGCAGTGAGCCAAGAATGACAGCCTTCTGCATCTGTGCGGCTAAGATTTCTGCCTTAGTGCGGCAAGCCGGTATGATTTTAAGATTCGAGAGTAGAGAGGATATAATTCCACCAAGGACTCCAATAATCAGAACAACCATTGAATTTGTAATTTTTTTCATTGGTCATACTGTAACAGCAGATGTCTCTCATCACACCTGCACCAAAACTGTTCTAATTTCTTCTTAGTTTCAATATCGACATGTTTCTTGTCCCTCTCTTTTCTTAGCGAAATTATGTTATTTTTTTCATTTATTACATTAAATTTCAGTGTCCTGAAGATGACAGGAGAATGACATTGTCATTGATTTTCTAAGGTCGCAAACATTCTCCAAACTTCTTAAATGAATCGACTAAAATTAGGATTGAATGACTATGAACTCACCTAACAAATCTACCCAGCCAAACAAAACTTCCCTTTTGTAACGTACCATGGGCCATGAAACGAACATACAGTCAAGTGTACCCTCTTCTGCATCTTGATTCGACCTGTATAATATCGGAAAATATACATATCGTGACTGAATTGATTTTGATTCAATATGGAATGTTATTAACTATGAAATTTTCTCCTTAGTTTCACTAAGTTAAATCGGTTAAAAAAAATCTATTATTTTTGAATTACTTGATAGTATAATAATTTGCTGAAATATCGAGACATTGGTCGAGTGACTTGGCACAGGCACAGGAAAACCATTGATGAATATCATAAAAATACTCTCATCATTCTCAAATGAGAGGCATGGTCCCTACAGAACATTTAAGTAGTTCAAAAATGGGAGAATAAGACTATTACAGAGAGTGATTTTTGTCTTTTTGAAATTCAAATTGGAGATCACTGTCTATTATAGTCACCCCAAAATATTTTGCTTCATAGTCTCCAAATTATTCGAGTTTAAATTAATATTGAGTTTTTGTTTTACGATATCTCTGTGAATTTTTGGACCAAATATTGGTAGTTTTGGGTTAGATGTATTATTTATAGATCACATATATTCAGTAAGGGATGGGAACGTAAAAATATGATTTAATTCAATCATCTATTTTGTGTAGTTTCAAAATGGGTATCATCGGCATAAAGATATATACTGCAATAATGAGAAGACATTTCATAAGCTGATTGGTGTATATCGTGAAAAGAAGAGGATCTAGTATTGATGCTTGGGGAATGCCTGACTTCAGATTCAGTGGTGTGGAATGTTCTTCATCAAGAACACCTTCCTGATGCCTGCTGTGTAGGCATATAAAAAAAGATGCATCTCAGACAAATCTAGTGCAAAATTGATAATAAAAGCTCATTATTAATTGTATTTAGTTGTATCAAAAGCCTTGCTAAAATCTATAAGCACCATTGATTTCGAACACTTTCTTCAAATTTATCATCGGTCACCACAACAGAGCTATGGTACAGCAGATTAGTTGGTACAGCAACAAATTAGGATTGAAAAAGAAAAAACTCCATTTTAAATACCTATTCATGTGGACTATCGCATAAGACATCTGGACATTTCATTATTTTGCCAATTTCCAAAAAAAAAATCGGGAAAAAAATCATTTTCCGCAACGTCCATCACTGAAGAAACCTAAATAATTTATAACAACAAGTTACTGACTAATTGGACTATTCAGTAGGTTATATTACGCACTAATTTTTTGGAGTGAACTTTTCAGTGTGCCTTTATTACACTTCAACAGAATCTCTATTGATATAGCTTCGCTTATTTTTGAGATTGTGGAAGGTTGAGTACCAAAAAACTGATAGAATAACTACTTTCAGATATGAACATCGAATATCGAATGAAATAGTATGGATATGATATTCCACCTACAAGAAAAACTTTCAAATTTCACGTAGACTTCTAGAAGTGTTGGTTGAAAACACTAGTTTTCAACTAGGAGGATGATTCACTCAATAATTACAAAAACTTTTCAACTATGTCACTGTAAGAGACACATCTGCTGCGTCACAATAACATTTAGTTAAAAAAATATTCCTGCAACTAGTAAATCTAGTT